CGCCTGTTAATTTCCAAATTCTCCACTGCCTCAACCAGGTACTGAACTCACAAATCTTTGTGTCCTGTCACTGGATGTAACCAACGTCTTTATCCACTGTGCCATGTGTCCTTAAGGGTTCAGTTTGATATTCCAACCACCTGAAGAAGCCCGGAGCGTACATCGGCCGAAACGTTGTGATAAATATGTCAACAAAATTGATGATAATAGTCCGAATAATGTAAATAGGGATTTCTGGTGTATACTCATTTTTTTCCCGGTCCCAATCATAGACAGACCGACAGAAACGGCGTTATGGTGACGTTTTGAGAGAGACAAAAATCGCAAACTGACACGCATTTTACATAGATAAAACTTTTACATACATACGCTTGTGAGGAAATTTTTTTTTGTAATTCTTTAAGGCCTGGACTATCAGGAATTCCTCCAATTAAACCTTTTCCAATAAATCCGAAGGCTCCAACTACAAATGCAATTGTTGATGTCCTTATATGCCACATTTTTGAGATTTCGATTTCAAGAACTTCAAAACTACATAAACAGTCCGCAGGGTCTGCCATATCAATGAGAAAGCACATTCTGTTCTTGTGGTCTTTCATCACGATGTTCATTGTTCTGTCTGTGTGTTGTAAAGTTCCATAAAATTGTTACAGGTCCGAGTCTGGGTGATGTCTGTGCCAGTTTCTTGCAGTTTTCTTCCTATAAAATTTGCAGATTTACCAGTGCAGATATTGGCCCACTCTGTCATGCCGAGTTTTATATTCACTGGGTGCCAATATCGTGCAACCTGATACAAGATGGTCAATCGTTTCTGTATATTTATCACAGAATCTGCATTACGGGTTAACACATTTTTTTCAGGATGTGTGCTTCGTAATTTCTAGATAGCAAACATTGGTTTTGTGAAGCAAGAATAAAACCTTCGGCTACAGCTTTTAACCCTGCACTACGTAACCACTGATAGATGCGGAGTTTGTTTACATCAGATTGTTTGATACGGGCAGATTATTGGCTATGAAGAGAATTATCTTGCCATCATTTCTGCACTTAGTACAATGCATTTGCTTTCTTTCTTGAGTTCTTTTCCGCTGCAGCAGGTGTATTATGCTTTATTTGCACTTTTTCATCCACTTTAAATTTCCTTTTGAATTTGTTGGCTTTCTTTATTACTGACGGTGGATAGCGGCTCGGATTGAGGAATCAGAAAGCCGAGTTCGAATTCCAGTCAAATCCATTACATTCACTTACATGCTAAATACCCTTGGGAAAAAGTATGAATCTTCTTTTTCTCCCCCTAGCTATGGGTAAATAGCAGGACATAGGATTCTATAGCCTTCGATGGCAACTGGTTTATCGATTTGACACTATATCAGTATTATGAAAAGTTCCCCACCCCCGCCCATTTACAAATCGATAAAAAAAAAATCAATATTATTTTTTTTTACAATTTTGATAATTGCCGCGGCTCGAGGAACGTCGGAAAATGGCAAACTACAGAAAACAACACTTGGAAAACATTCCCTATTTTTATGATTGGACCACTATATTTAACTAGTTCCAAGAGATGATTAACTTACAATAGAGAGAGGGAGGGAGACGGATCTTTTGATTGTGTTAAGAAACATTGATTTCTATCATTCGTTCCTCACAATCGTCTCCCATTGTGAACGTGAGTAAAAAACAAAGTGCGATAACACACACACACACACAAACAAACAAACAAACACACAAAGAGACATAGGGTTTTGAAGTTTTCCTTGCATTGGGTACTGTCATGTAGTTTGGTGTTCTGCACTAATATTTGTTTTATGTTGATACATATATTTGGGTAGTTCAGGATGTGTGCACGGATTGCACTGAATTTCAACAGGCGACAGGTCAATCTGTGAGAGAGTGTGGTACGTGTGTGCTCAATGTAACTGTTTAATGCGGTTTTTTGATTATTATTGTTGCAGATGCAGAAGCCCTAGAAGCGATTTTTATACAAAATAAACAGCCCATATTAAATAATCATTAACCACAGGAGATGATATTTCTTGTACTGCATATGATATAATTAATGGCGCATGTATTATATTAGTGACCCTAGAAGCAGGCTTGCGGTGTGTGTGGCCGATCTACCCTCATTTTCTTGATGTCAATCTCGACTGGAGCTTGTCTGGTCCTGTACCAGGCAGGCCCTTGACAAGAGAAGCGAAAAGTGGGTCGATCAAAACAGACTTTGAAGTAGAAGTGTTGACGCAGAGGGGAAAGGGAGCCCCGACACGACATGGGCCGAACTGAAGAGGATCGCCCAGAACCGCGTCCGTTGGAGAGATGTTGTTACGGCCATACGTTCCAAGGAATCAAGATGCCTGATAATAAAAAAAATATTATATTCGTATTAGAAATAAAACATGACATCGGACTGTTAAATGGACTTCTGCACCGGGTTTCAATTCAGAGTCATCCTTCTTATATTCTGGTTGCTAACCCTGGCTATACAGCCAAGATAATCCTTCTATTTATGACGCGTGCTGATGAAAATCCCCCGGGAAGCCAGTGCGCCAACAACTCTTCTGACGACTAAGTCAACAACTAGGATAGGGACCTTGAACGTCAAAACCCTATACGACCAAAACAGACTTGACGCAGAAGTGTTGACGCAGTGGTGAAGGCAGCCGCGGCACGACATGTGCCAAACTGAAGAGGATCACCCAGAACCGCGTCCGCTGGAGAGGTGTTGTTGCGGTCTTATGTTCCCCAAATAATCAAGAGGTAAGAGAGAAACGGAAATGGGGATGGATCGTCCACACACTCCGTAAGCCTGCTTCTAGTGTCACCAGGCAGGTCTTGGACTCGAATCCACAAGGGAAGCGAAAAGTGGGTCGACAAAAACAGATTTGGCGCAGAAGTGTTGACGTAGAGGTGAAGGCATCCCCGGCACGACATGGGCCAAGCTGAAGAGGATCGTCAGGAACCTCGTCCGTTGGTAAGTGTTGTTCCCCAAGAAATCAAGAGGCATAATAATAAAAAGAATATTATATTCGTATTAGAAATAAAACTTGACATCGAACTGTTTAAGGGAATTCTGCGCTTGGTTTGAATTCTAAGTTGTCCTTATATTCTGGTTGCTAACCATGGCTACAGAGCCAAGACAACCCTACTCTTTACCTATAGTTGGAGGTTTTGAATTCAGTTATAGAACCCAGTCTGTCCTGTCATTTACCCATAGCTTGGGTGGGAAGAATAAATGGATTCATAAATTTCCCCAGTGGTAAGTAAATGTTATGAAATGACTGGAATTCGAACTAAGTTCACCGATTACTCAATCCGGTCCGCAGTCCATTATTCCATCGTACCTTCTCAGTCTGATACTATGTTCAATTTTGTTCTGGCAACACCCGCGACGACGGCGGTGCCGAGTTGTATTGTCCTCTGCCTTTCCCTTGGACAACATCCGTGGAATACAGGTATACCTCGGGTTACGTCGTTTCGAGTTAAGTCTTTCTCAATTATACGTCGTTTGTAAAAAAAACTACTGTACAATAAAAAAGAATAAAAGTATATAAAATCATATTAAAATACGTCCATTTACAGCAAATGTTAATATAATCATTATAAATCCCAGAGAACGAAATCTGACAACATCTGTGACTCTGTTATCGTCTTATTTAGCGGTCTTTAAGAGCGCAATATTGGCGTTTTCAACGGTAGTTCCAATATCTACCGTTTGGCGCCGTTGCCAGCGAAATCGAAATCAATTTTAGTTCTCTCATCCTGAAAACTAACTCCCAAAAAACAAGATGATATGTGTTCAGAAACTGATATGGCTCAATTACAAAATGAAATAAAAAAAAAAAAAAACATCGAAATTACGGATCCAATGTCAAAAATTCCCAAACAGGTAAACGGTCAGAAATACAACGCACAAGGCAACAGTCACTTCCTTTTATCGACGGAACAAATTTTCATTGGTTGACGGTTAGAGAGGATAAATAATATTAACATATCCGAGATGCATTTATGGCAACAGCTGCCACTGACTTGTTTCTATTCTTGGGTATTTTCTCTTCGGCATACGAAGAGAAAACACGTGACCTATCTCTGTAAGTGACTTTCTCTTTCATCACTGTTTGGATGGGATTTTCTTTCATATCCTTCATACTCACGTGACAAACTTTTCTTTCAGTCAGTAGAACAGTTCATAAGTGGTAGAGCGTTCACAAACAAAGAAGTTAAAAACAGCGTTTCAAACGTTTGGCGATAAAACCCCAGATTTCTTTAAATATGGATTCGAATCTATGCCTTTTTCCTTTGCGTTGCTGCGTCCGTTAAAAAGGAAAGTGATTACTTTTTTTTTATAAAAAATAATTACATAAATTTAATTTATATTTATTTTTAGATCACTTTTCTGGTAAAATTTAATTTTTCGAACACCTTAATATTAAGTTACACGATACTTTGCAGACAGACCGGCTATACAGTAAACTTTCTCACATAAAGACTGTTGGATATGTCTGGACCATTTTCAGCACTATGTTAAAACACTGGTGTGACAGCCGAAGTTAAGCAGTGTCGTAAATGGGTGACCATTGCAGAATATTAGGTGTTATAAAATTGGATGTGCGGGTGGTGTAATGGATAATTGGAGAGTCTAGTTCTAATTCCAGTTGGGTTCGTTATATTCATTTATGCTCAAATACCATTGGGAAACGTTTGAAGCCACATCTTCTCTCCCCAGCTATGGGTTAATTATTAAAACTTATATCACTAAACCATTATAATCTAACGAATCTAACTATTTTTTGACATTAAACAACCTTTCAAAGGGGTTGATCAATTGTAGAAAACGGATCAATGAATAAACAGAGGGCTATGATTATTTATAAACTAAAGAAAAAGTTCTTTCAAAAACATTTCTTTCGTGTTTGGATCTTCTACAAGAGAAGGCAGCAGGTCTATTATATTCAGGTCTCGAGAGAAGAAAGGTTTAAGATCTGCTTATAGCAAAACCAATTACAGCCATATCACGATGAAACACCAGTTCTTGTTCGATCACTGAAGTTAAGCAATGTTGATCCTGGTCAGAACCTAGAGGAGTGAACGCTTGTGAATACCAGCTGCTGTAAGCTAAGCTGTGTGGGTAGTGTGATCGATAAGGGCTCGGAATGAGAAATTCTGGAACCGAGCTCGAATTCCAGTCGAATTCGTTGCATTCACTTGAATTATAGGAATATTGTAGGTCCCAAACACGGTCAGCACATTTTGACCGTAATCGGAGTTGATATGAGTGTTGGATCCATTTCTTCTCCGCCATCTATGGGTTAAAAAATAGAACGGATTAGTTCCTATAGACTTATTTGGCAACCAGTCTACCACGAAAGTAATGGTAGCCTACTGCAGAAATTCTTCTGCCAAGACAGTCATGAATCGAAAAAAAGATTTAATCGATTAAGCGTGCCTCGCGTATGACACCTCAACAAGGTAGGAAAACCGCCATAATTTTTATTGGTATAATAAAATATTCTTTAATTCTTAAGATCATTGAATCGAGGCTTGTGTTAGAAAATGTGGGTGTTCGTTGACGTCTGTTTTCGTTTTGTACTTCACCGCCGAGTACATAGAAGAACAACAAAATCTAGGGCATTCTTACATTATGCTTTTCTAATGAGCGAAGCTTAGTTAGCTTGTCTAGCAAGCCATTGACAGCAAGGACATTTCTCATTGGATGTTTAATGAATATCAAGTTACCAATCTATGACGGCAGTGCTGGAAATTTCTCGACCCGACCAAGAATAACCTCGAACCACGAAAATTGTACATGTATATTTACAACGTAGTTCAAGACACGTTGCACATAGCATCTCAACTATTTTTAACACTTTCACAAATATATATATATATATATATATATATATATATATGACACTTTCACAAATATATATATATATATGTGTGGGGGTGTGTGTGTGTGGGCGTTGTGTGCATGTGTTTGTGAAAATTCAGATACAACTAAAAATATATCTGTAAAAAGGCATTATGAATAAAGAAAAAAGGAAAAAGATAAGTTTTCCTTTTCTCTTTATTTATAGTGTCGACGCGTTTCGTCCTCTGAGGGACTTTATCAAGGCAAATCTAAGGATTTTATTTTACGACAAGTATTTACAAACAAAATTAAAAATGTTAGTTTTTCAGACTTTTTTTAAAAATTGCAAACGCTCATAAATATACTTGACTAAAAGTCAAGTTCAATTATGGAAGGTGCTAAGTGATATAATCTAATGTCTACTAAACGAAAATGGGTAAATATTATACTTGATTTTATTATGTAATTATTTTAAATTATTGAAAAATTGGTATATATAACATATTTTAGGTAATAGAAGGTTTTGAATTTTCTTTTAAATTTTGAAAATTTTCATAATCATGAAGGTTGGCTTGAGAAGGGAGTATTTCTTTTACTAAGGGAGATATTTAAAAAAAAAAAATCCTTGGCGCAGATTTATATTTTTGGCCAGATTCAGTAGCGGCTCTCTTTTTCAAATATCTTCCTTTTTTCCTTTTATTCATATATACAGGATGCGATGGATAAATTGTCGTCTAAATGGCGCCAAAAATGAAGATGACACTGACATCTCATTTTAACAGCTATACGGGGTGCGATGGATAAATTGTCGTCTAAATGGCGCCAAAAATGAAGATGACACTGGCACCTCATTTTAGGAGATATACAGGCTGCGATGGATAAATTGTCGTCTAAATGACGCCAAAAATGAAAATTAACACTGACCTTATTTTAACAGCTATACAAGGTGCGATGGATAAATTGTCGTCTAAATGGCGCCAAAAATGAAGATGACACTGGCACCATTTTAGGAGATATACAGGCTGCGATGGATAAATTGTCGTCTAAATGACGCCAAAAATGAAAATTAACACTGACCTCATTTTAACAGCTATACAGGTTGCGATGGATAAATTGTCGTCTAAATGACGCTAAAAATGAAGATAACGCTGACATCCTATTTCAACAGATATACAGGCTGCGATGGATAAATTGCCGTCTAAATGACGCCAAAAATGAAGATAACACTGGCACCTCGTTTTAGAAGATATACACGGTGTGATGGATAAATTGTCGTCTAAAGGACGCCAAAAATGAAAATAATACTGACATCTCATTTTAACAAATATATTTAACAAAATTACACAAAAATATCTTGAATACTAGCAGTCGCCATAGGATGCGTAAAAATTCACATATGAATATATCAGTAAAAACAATATAAATAAGCGTAAAAA